GGCCAATTCTATGTGCATCTTTCTTCTCTTCCTGAGCTGCCCTCTCCTTCCTTGTTATGGGCTAGCAGGGGAAGGCAGGATGCTACTAAGCCCAGGTCACTGTGTTTCCCACGATGGCTCCCCTATGCCACCATCTTTGTAAATGAACCCTCCTCACAGGACCCTTTTCTGAGGCTCCCTCCTCTTCCCTCAAGGGATCTGACTAGTATAGACGCCAGCAGCCCCTGGATCTGCTCTTCCCAGCCCTTCCCAGGTGTCCATGGAAGAAGACACATCGCTGTCCAATGGGACAGACGAATGATTCCATCTGAGGAAGTAAGAAACAGAGACAAGAGAAAAAGTTCAAGAGTCTATGAAATGTGTCTTCAACTTTTTCTCCTTTTTGAGTCGCCATTGTACGTTTGAGTACAATTGGTTAAAAATTAGTGTTCAGAGGCTTTCAACCCTGTTTGGAGAAATGGTGCCTCCCTTAAACCAATAATTGAATTGCTTAATTGAGAGCATAAATCTCTATTGTGAATACTGACATTTTCTCTTTAACAGCTGTGCGTGCTGCAGCTACTGGCCTGGGCTGTACTGTTTCTATATGTGTCAGGTAAATGCTTTTAACACACAGTATTCCTCCCTTGGTATATACTAAGTAATAAAGGTTAAGTTGTTCCTTAAATGATTTTACATTTCTCTTTCAGCTATGAGTTAGTGCCTGCTCATAAGGTTAAGAATGTTTCTAATGCAGAGTGTCATTAATTAGTTTCCGATGGCCCGTTTGTTCCGGGATTCCATGCCTCTTGAACAAATTGCTAAGCTGTTAATGGAAAACGATATTTTGTTCAGCAGACTAGGGAGGTGTCTGATTTGTTCCCAAAATAATGTGCTTGAGTCAGACTCTGGGCTACTAGAATAGAATTTTTTATGAATTTAGTTAGATATTGGAATACTGATTTTTTATATCAGTGTAATATTTTGTCATTCTGTTTGTTTTGTTTGCCATTTTTTTCCTTGCTTTTCATAACTCATTAGAAACTAGATATAGGGGAGGAGGCCTAATTATCCAAAGAACTTTCTGTGCTTCTGTTCAACAATCAGCTACCACTAGACGTGCGAGGCTGGGCTGGAAGTACACATGTGCCCCACGTAAGGAGTTGGGTTCTCCTCCTTTTCAAATTGCACAGCAGCTGCCCAGAGAAAAATGAATTGTTAACAACAGGATGAAAAGCAAACATTGCAGCCAATCAGAATAAGCCAAATATAAAAACCCATGAAAATGTAAGAATAAGAGGGAAATTAACGAGAAGCGTGCCAACATAAGGACATAAAAGCTAGTTAGCAGTATACAACATTGACTAAAGGAGACAGGAAAAGATATATGAGGAGCAAACCAAGTTATGTAAATTCTACACTAAATTTTTTGGCCAAAACCCAAGTTATTGGTCCAAATTGCTGTTGCCCCGTAGGTTGCCGGAGCCACCTGTGGCTGCTGGCTGAGAATCTGCACAGAATGTGTCCCTTATAAAGAATTTGGTTGTGCAAATGTTTAGTGTGTGTGATAGGGAGGGGTAGAGGAGGATATGCTAGTGGGCCCATTTCAGGTCTAGATTCATACACACACACACACACACACACACACACACACACACACACACACTTGCATGCCTCCAGATCTTTGCTTATGCCAACTGTTCCCTTTTCCTGAAACCCTCTTCTATTCTTCTGCCATTTACATTCAGATTTATATCCATGACCCACAAAGAATCTCTCTTCCTCCTATACTCTGCTGCCCCCTCCTACCTAGGGCGTGGAAGCAGGAGGGGTGTCCACGCAGGGCAGAGGCCTGTGGCGAATGGGCCAAAGGTTCGCCATGAACAAGCTCTGCTCTCTGCTCGCCTGCTCATTCTACAGAGGATGGGTGCTCCCTCAGCCTCCTCTCTCTCAGCTTCCCTCCAGGGGTTCCTCTGGCCACCCGACCTCTGACACTGGGTGCCTCCAGGGTAAGAAAGTTCCCACCAGAAGGGCAGCTGGCACGTCCATTTTTGGGTCTGTCTGCAGCTGTACCACCTCACTGTCCTCCACATAACAGTGTCTAGCAGATGAGCTTATAAGCCCGGCAAGTGCACGAGCTCGTCCTCTGAGATGGGGATATAAATGGGCCCAAGACACCACTCACAGGAGGGACTGTCGCAGCTGCTACTCAGCACGGTCAGTGGAAAGAAGACATTGAATCTCACTGAGTGTCTATCATGGGCACCACACTGCACAGATAACATCTTTGTAAAGCCCATCAGCTGACGTCTACCAGGAATACACGTGCAGCCCAAGTTAGGGTTATTAGCTCCTTGCAGCAAGGGAGAACGAACACCAGAGTAATCCTGGAACATCAAAAGGCAAAAGTTAGGAAAAAGTACTTACCGAGATCAGGGAGCCGGAGTTCAATGTCCTTGGCAGAGATTGGTCAGAATCAGGAAATAAGGGAGTTGCTGGAACAATCAATGATTTTATCTTTAAAACAAAAGTCATGAGATGTACACCCATGTTCAGAACCACATTATTCACAATAGCCAAATGGTAGAAGCAATCCAAGTGTCTCCTGACAGATAAGTGGACAAATAAAATGTGGTGCACATATACAATGGAGTAGTATTCAGCTTTAAAAAGGAAGGAAATTCTGAGACATGCCACAACATAGATGAACCTTGAAGACATTATGCAAAGTGAAATAGCCAGTCACAAAGAGACAAATACTATGTGATTCCACGTTTATGAGGTACCTAGAGTAGTCACATTCATAGAGACAGAAAAGTAGAATGGTGGTTGCCAGGGGCTAAGGGAAGAGGAGGAAAGAGGAGTTATTGTTTAATGGGTACAGAGCTTCAATTTTGCAAGACGAAACGAGTTCTGCAGATGGGTGGTGGTGATGGTTGCACAATAATGTGAATGTACTTAATGCCCATGAACGGTACACTTAAAATAGTAAATGTTATGTTATGTACATTTTATTACAATTTTTTTAAAAAGTCATGTAGAAATACTGTTTGATCAGTGCGTCTGATGGCCTATCTACGACATACGGGCTTGCATTTGCTGGCTAAAAGAGTTTGCATTTAAACAGTGTCTCTGGCGTGCTATGGCTTGGCTCCATTTTCCTCTTTTGCGAGTCACAGAACAGATTTGCAAGATGTGATTTCTGTTTCAATTCTCAGTTCCTCCATCTCAGACTAGCTGTCAGCAGAGCGAGTTTCTACTTTCTCAATCTCATTGGTTTGTTTGCTTGTTTGTTTATTCCTCTTATCGAAAAGTAGTAAAAGAATTGAGATTCCAACCCAAAGCAACCAGAATACTCAGCCTGGAAGTTTCTATCATAAAGGTTCCCTAAAGGTTAAATCAAGCCTTTGAGATATGCACGATCCACTTGTACCTAACAATAAATACAATTCCACAACCTTGACAGTTCCAGCTACCCTCTGATACACAGACAAATATGGCATTGCCTGATTCCCAAACCTCCCAGATTGAAGGGCAAAACATACACATACACAGTTGTGTGTAGGAAGTAAGAATAAATTCTAAGGAGTGAAGATCCTATGCCCATGTAAATTATCTACATACTTACGATACTGTTTGCTTACATTTGTTTTGAATCCTTTCACAAGGAAAAGAACCTGGAATACTAGAGATAAGATTCAAAATTAAAATGGAACACTACTAGAGAATTTAATGCGTTCACTTAGATTTCTTTGAAGTATAAATGATGATGTTAGAATCTCCTTTAAGAGTACATTTGGACAAAGCAGAGAAAGAAGCAAAATAATTCCTAACATATGCACCATAATTTAAAGTAGGAACCGGCAAACTTTTTTCTATAAAGGACCGAATAGTAAATGCTTTAGGCCCTATGGGCCATACACAGCCAAAGACAATGTGTAAACAAATGAGTGTGGCTGTATTCCAATAAAACTTTATTATGAACACTGAAATTTGAATTTAATGTAATTTTTACAGGTCATAAAATATTATTCTTCTTTTTAACTTTTTCCAACCATTTAAAAACATAAAAACCATTCTTCTCTCTCAGGCTGTAGAAACATAGGGAACCTGCCGAATTTGCCCTGCAGCTATAATTTTCTGATCCCTGCTTTAAAGGCTGGTTGCTCCAAGGGCGGCCCAGCATCCAGGAGCTTGTCAGAAATGCAGAACCTCAAGCCCAACCCCAGATCCTCTGAAGGAGAATCTGCATTTTTAACAACAATCGCCACGTGCTTGTTTACACTGATTTAAGGTCCATGCAGACTGTGAAGCCAGACCAATCTCTGTGCTACAACTTTCCAGAGAAGTTCTGGATCTTTCTGTGCCTCAGTTTCCTGAAGTACAAGGTGGAGATGAAAGCATTGTCTCCCTCAAGCATGGTTGTGAGATTTCACCTGCACACATACACACAGGGTTTACAACAATGTTTGCCATTACTATTAGAATAGCTCGAGTTATTTTCAGCGCCACCCTCTGAAATGGGCAAAGCTGTAGCCCAAAGAATAGAGAAACTTATCTAGGATCACAATTTAGTCCTGAGGATAATGAAAGGGTCAAGGATATACAAGGACAAACTCCTCAGGTTCCCAGGTCTTCCAGTCCAGGCTTCTTTCCCTTCCAAGGTTCACTGTCCACGGCGTCTCTCAGCTCATGCCCCTGAGAATATCTCTGCCACACAGGATCTCCTTGAATCTATACCCCAAGTTGCCCTTTCATTCCTTGAAATTTATCTTCTATTAAGTTGCATAGTGTTTTTTACAACTTCTCTTTCTAGTTATAGATTGTAAATTTTTCCTCTGCTGAGTCTTGTAGCCGAGTGACTGTTTTTCATTATATTTGTAGGGCTCAGGAAAAAAAAAAAAAGACAATTCCTTTATTTGAGAATCCTGACATTTATTAGCATAATAAAACTCTCAAGATGAAATTGCAGTTTTCCAGACAGTAATTTCATTTGCAGGACAACTTACAAGGGATTTATTTTAAAGCCAGGTAAAACCTAAAATATATGAGACATGCAGAAAGTGCAGGCCCCAAATAAAATGAAATAAATGTGTTAGGGATGGAAAACTCAGCCATTGTCTTTCACATATTAATTAGGGGTGACAGGAACAACAACCCAGGGAGTCAAGGTCTCAACCCATCTTGGTTTGCTTTCAAAGCTGCTGCTAGTTCTTGGAACAGAAGAAGTTTCTTCCAACACCTTGAAAATCATCACATCATATCCCCTGACACATCGCTGCTAAGCATGAAATCGTTGTTGCTGTTCTTGTGGTGGCTTCTAGCAACACCTTCCATTTGGACAGAGCTTTCATATCTACCATTTAGCTGACCTGTCAAAAAACCCCGTGGTGACCATACGGAAAATTCTCTCAGTTGCTCGGAGGTTTCCTGGAGTTACATGACTTGAACAAAGTCATATAATTGGTAAGTAGCAGAACCAAAACTAAAACTTGGTTCCTCTGAGTCCTAATAGAAATAAGGTAATTTTAATAATAATTGGTTACAGTTTTAAGGCACTTTAGACTACAAAAAGTGGGTCCCCTCCGTCACTTCATTTTATGCATTCAGTGAGACAGACAGGAGGCAGGCAACGGAGCTGGGCTGCAAAATTGTTATTATTGAACACATTTGTATGATGAGTCCTTATCTTGGGCTCCCCTGTGGCAGAAGCTTATGTGCTGCTACTTCACCCAGGAGTTCAATCCCAGAGGAGCAGGGGGGAGGGGGGGAGGCAGAGAAGTAGGAAGAACAAGTAGGGGTCACACTGATCGTGTCACTGCTTGGTTTCGTCATGACTCATCGTCACTGGATCTTGCAAGACTGTCTCCTAAGAGACCATGTGAAGAGCTACCTCACAGAACAGTCCCGCCAGGAGGAAGAAGGGAGAGGAATTCATCTGCCAGCCTCTCACTCTCATTGATCTAAGGTTTATTACTGCATGGGGCATTAACTTCCCAGCCCTCTGTCTTATGCCTCTGTAGCAACAGGAAATGAGGCATGTGGCAAGGTACCATTGGCTTAGGCTCACAGGAGGCTGAACAACACAGTGAGCAGAGCAGAGCCTGTGCACAATCAGTGACAGTGGTGGTGGCTGGTGGGAAACACTCAGCCAACGATGCAAGGAGCAAGCAGAGCATGGGAGACGTTTGATACAGCTACCAAGTAAAGCAAATCAGTTCCCTGACATCCCCAGAGCCGTTCATCCTTTTCCTCTCACCAAACATAACGCTGCAAGCATTAAAATGCTAGGAAGTTTCAGAGTGGGGATTTGAACCCCAATCTTCTTGACTATAGACACTATAATCTTCCCATCATAATATGCTGCCTCTATTTACATGACCATGAATATAGAACACGAGTATGCACAAATAGATATCATCCGGCAGAGTCTTTCTGCTAATCTGAGGAACCTGCTCAGATCAAGCGACAGTAGAATCAAAATCAAAATGACAATGAGGACAGAGTTAATCATTTGAATAAACTGCATACAGAGGGCCCCATCCTAGAGAGCAGAGGCCTTATGTCTAAAAACCATTCTTGCATTTGTAATCCACCCCAGGTACATCTGTAGGAATACATGGAACCACTGCTTCAGTATTGCAAAACCATGGCCAAGATACAATTCAAAGACAGAGGAGGGTGGCAGAAAAAGAGGTTAAATACAGAAGACAGGACAGTATCGATTACCTGTCCTGGAAGCTGGGGCTCAGGAACCTTAGGTAAGTCCAATGATAACATCTACAAGGGTAATAACGAATATTATAAAAGATGCAGCAGCTATGTCCACCATAGAAATCTTTTACAATCTCACTTCCATTATTTCTATGATTTTATAGAGTGACAAGTAAGAAATACCTTACTAGAAACTGATTTGGTGTTGAGAAACTTTCAGAAGAAGTACATTCATTCAACAAACATTTATTGAATGTCTACCAATGTTTAACCATGTTAAATTCAGGGTTCGGCACTGGAATTATTTTGGATTATTAAAACATGATCCATGCACTCTAGGAGCTCAGATTAGGGTAGCTGTGGCAAGTAGGCTTTATCTTCTGAGGTCATAGCCAAACTCTTCATGAAAGAGTTGCATCAGCTATCAGCAATTTCTGTACTGAGCACCGGAATGAGACCAGCAGCAAATACGCCAAATACTTCATATCACTTGAGACATGCTAGTCTACTTGTTCCTCTGAGCGGTGATGGATCTTCCAGAAGTCCACAGGATTTGAGCTGGGAAGTTCTTAAGCTGAGTTCAAAAAGAGGGTTCCCAAAGGAATCCAATTGATCAGGAGAAAAAGAAATCATTCAAACAACAGGTGGTAGTCTGGCGGGCTGTCCCTCTGTCCGCAGGGCTCCTGCAGCAACTCTCCCCCCGAAACAGTGATAATTTCCTCCTACAAAAGGGGGCGGAAAGGAAAATTCACTTATAATCAAGAAAGAGAGATAAACACCTACCCGAGAGAGACTGGATTAAGATAGAAAGACAAAGAACATGCATCTGCCTCCCCTTCACTCAAATTTCTAGAAATGGCAGGGAAAAAAAATCTGCCTTTAAAAAGAAATAAATCCACAAAATTACTGGAAAATAAGAATAAATGCCAACAACAAAGTGAAAAAGGTTAAAGAATCCTTTAAAAAAACAAAAAAAAAAGTTGTGCAGGATGGGATTGTCAGAGGAATCGGTGTGGGGCAGGGCCCGGTGCAAGCTGGGGGCAGGTTGGGGGACTCTAGGCAGCTTTTGCCTCAGAGTTGTTTCCCTCAGGCAGCTCAGGAAATGAGGAGAAGCACACAGTTTCTTGAGTGGCCAAAGAGCTCCAAAAAATTCAAACACTCCCACGTCTAAAAGGTGAACGATTCACTGTCAACTCCAACCCCTACAGCATGAAGAGACTGGATTTGGGAAACAGAAACTCTATCCACTCATGGACAAACAGGAAATTTAGAAATAGAAGGTCACCGCATAGCCCCAAATCCATAAACATTTAAGGAAAATCATAGCCATAATAGAAAGATGCCAAACTCAACAATAGAAATGATTCTCAAGGAAATGTCAAGTCTATAAATATAAAACAAAGAGAAGGAGCCTGTAAGAGATGTGTATTAATCCCCTCCATGGAATAAGAAGATAAGTTGGAGAGAACATCAGTTAGTAAGTCAATGAGTCAGTCTGTCTCTCTCTCTCAAAAAAAGAAGATAAGTCATCCATGAAACATGAATGGACCATTTGATTAAGAAAAAAAAAAAAAAGAACCAATTAAAGAACCCAGATATGAAAAGCATGACTATTTAAATTAAAAAGAAAAATTTCAGTAGAAGAACTGAATAATAGCATGGACATAACTAAAGAGCAATTTAGTTGCTGAAAGAAATGTCACATCAGTGAGAAAGAGACATCTTAATAGAAAAATGGACAAAGGATATGAATGGATGATTCACCGAAGAAGAAATCCAAGTGGCCATTAAACATACGAAGAGATCCTCAGCATCAGTGGTCAGCAGAGAGATGCAAGCTAAACCACAGCAAGATTCAGTGTCTGCCCATCTGATGAAAAAAAGTAAATGACTGATAGGCCCTGGTATTGGCACTAGTCTGGGGAAACAGCCTCATATAGAGTTGGCAGGGGCCTGAATTGGCACCATATTTTTGAAGGGCAATCTGGCAGATCTTTTCTAATTAAAATGTGCATACTCTTCTCTGTAGCAATCCCAATCTAAGGGACCCATCCTAGAGAAATACTGCACATGCATTCACAGTGACATATACAGGGAAGTCGCTGCAGCCCTGTTTGTGATCATGAAAAACTGGAAACCAGATAAGTGGCTATCAAGAAGAGAATGGGTAATTAAACTGTAATATACATCCATACCGTGGAATACCACGGGGCATTTATAAGGATTAATACATGTGTTGACTTAGATCTCTTAGACATATTTTAATAATAGTCAACACGTTCTGATAATTTACAAGTGTCAAGTATATTGTTTCATCACTTTAAACAGTGATATCTCATTGAAACCTCACAGGGACCTGAAGAGGTGAGTGCTATTACTAAATCCATCTCTCTGGGGAGGAAACTGAGGTGCAAAAGTCTGAGTAGTTGCCCAAAGTCCCACATAGAAATGAAGTTGAGATTTAAAATTCAGCAGCCTGATCCCAGGGATCATGCTTTTTAAAACTATATTCAATGATTTATTTAGCCTGTAAAAAATCAAGTTGTCCAGCTGTATGTAAAGAATTATGCAACTTATATGAAAAATAACGAAACTATGTATTTCCTTATGCATACAAGTTTCTATGTTACTGCCCAGGAAATACTTAGACAGATACATGGCAGACTGATACTTCAAGGTGGACGATGGAAATGGGGATTTAGAATGAATGAGGCCCTCACTTTGTATTGTATTTGATTTTTCTTAAAATGTAATCATGAATTAACTGTGTAATTAAATTTTTAATTTATAAAAGCTGACCACCAGATCTCCAGATGGACATAGATGATATATCTCTAAAGAAATGTGTTAGGAATGAAATTGTCAGTGTCTAAAGTTTAGATCTGGAAGAGAATGAAGACCTTCAAAAAACATTTGGTCTGGCCTTTCCACATAGGAACCTGTCCTGAGAGATGGACGTTTACCCTTTGCTTGAAACACATCCAGGAGCAAGGCGTTTACCACTGCTGATGCAGCTTATAAGGAACAGGGAAAGCAAGACAATCTGGCTTGGTGGGGAAAGCGTGCACTTTAGAGGCAGACAGCATGAGACTTAACTCCTGGTCCTCACTGGTACCAGCCATGGAAACTTGGCCTTGGTTCCTTGATCTGTACAATGGGGCTAAGATGCCTCCCTCACAGAGCTACTGGGAAGATTAAATGAGAGCATGAGTGCAGAGCACGGGGCTCAGTGCTGGACAGAGAGAAAGTGCCAGTACCCACACATGCCCCCCTTTCTCTTTCCTCTGGTTGTTAGAAGGCTACACAAGTGGAAATCTAACTTGACTCCGGTTGGTCCAATTTTCTGGGCAGTACTCAGTGTCCAGGTATTTGTGAATGGGTGATTTTCTTGACTCCTAAGGTCAAGATAAGAGCTGTCCCTGGAGCCCAGGGGACATCCAGGAAAAGAGGAAGATAAAGCCATACAAATCCAAGAGTCCCTCCTGAAGGAAAAGCCCAGTGAAATGGTCAAATCCTTCTGTGAACCTTCCTACACCCGCAAAGCGCAGGTAGATGTTGGACCCCTGAGCTGCCACCACTCTACCTCCCAAAAGTCTTAGGTTTAGCGAAGTCTCAGAAGCCTGGCTTGAAGTTCACGGGAGGGACATTCTTGGGAATGAGCGGAGGAGTGACACCTGGGCTTGGAGAGAGGCTGATCAGCCAAACCCTCGTGTTGAAAGTAGGGAGCGCTCAGGCTCTCAAGGTGAGAGGAGGCCTGGGGGCCAGGCTTAGGTGTGCACGCCTGCCCCAGAGGGTGAGCCAGAGAAAAGAATGGGCCCCAGGGCCGGGTCTAGACAACCTCCGGCCTCTTCTACCCTGACCCGAATGCTCTGTGCCTCTGTGCCCCTCCGGCCCCACGGCTTAGAGCCCGCAGCCTTGCTGCGCTTGCTCGGCTCTCTCTTCAGCTCAAGTGTCTACCAGTGTCCTCCCCCAGCGAGCAGCCCTCAGAGGGATACCTTGTGGAAATCAATGAGATCTGTGAGCGTTGCGTGGCGATTGGGGTCCACTCCCAGGAAGCTGTAAAAATCCCCAGAGGCATCCACAAGAAAGTGCTTGAACCCCTTCTGCAGGCGGTAGGAGAGGGTGTAACCCCAGATTTTCTCACTGACCCGGACCAGAAATGCTCCCTCGGTCATGTTCTCCAGGAGATCTTCTGCGTTTTCTCGGCTAATAATCCCTGGTTTAAAAAAAAAAAATAAAAACAAAGAAAGTCAGCATGTTCTGCAGCCCCCTCCACACCCTCCCCGACCGCTTCCCAGCCCTTGCCCTGTAACTGGGTCCACGAGTTGTCCCATCCTTGGGGGCCCGGTGGCAGGAAGGGAAGGGCCTCAGGGTGGCCAGTCCAAAGCGGGAGCAGCCTGGCCCGGCGCAACCAGCTGCGAACCTGGGGGCAGAGTTTCCCTAGGATCCGAACTGAGCACACTTTGCTCTCCAAAGTAAGCCACCCTGGTTTGAACTAATCAGAAAAGCAAGGAATTAGTGATGGGCTGGATTATAGTATCTGTTGATTACAAACACAAGTCACCAGGTACACCCTCTGGGAAGCCCTGAGCGTCCTGCTGCAATGACCAGAATGGCTGCTGACGGCTGCCGCACTTAGCTCCCTGGAACATACAAATGAGCACCTGAAGACAGGATTTTCCCTCGAAAAGTAAAAGGACTTCCTCCAAATACCCATGGACACCAGGCAAAACATTTCTTCACTTCTTAAAAGTGAAGCTTAACAGAATTCAGCTTCCCTTCAGCTCAAAGGACAAAACTTTCTAAGGCTTTGCAGTCCTACGCGATGTGGTTGCATCACAATATGGAAGTCGGGTCTGGCCTTGGAGTTGTTGATTTGCCAGCGGCAATGCCCTGAAATGCTTTTAGGGAGCTGCTGTCATCCGGGTGTTGTGGGAGAGGCAATCGGTTTGGTAGATCAGACTCTGGAGTCAGGAGGTGGGAAGAGAAGGGAAGTCAGACCTCCTGGATTCCTTCCCCAGCTCTACCCTTACCTGGCCATGGGATCCTCAGCCAAGCCCTCAACTTCTCCAGTGGCCTTTGACATTTCAATGGTCATAACCCATTTACTTTAAAGGCACATTATGACTTTCAAATCAGAAAAAGAATTCAAAATCTTTTTATACACTGGGAATAGCTGTGGAAATGTTCGATCCTGTCATCTGTTATTTTGGGGGAGAGGTGCATTGCAATGCATCGTCCCTTTGCACACCCGCTTGTATGCCCTTTACACACATTCACCATCGGGGTCAAGCAGACGGATGGAAGTAGCTGGGCTGCTCATCGCCATGACCCTGAAAGGCACTGCACACCTGTGACTTCTCCCTATCTGAATCCCCGATGCCACTCCCAAGTGAACCTGCAGTCAGACTCCCCTCCTGTTGCTCTCCTACCCAAAGCACAAGGGACTGTTCTTGTGCCCAAAGCAGAAGACACAGAGGCAACCATGCTGTCAAAGGCTCTACCTTGTAAAGACAGTCAACACGATCGTGGACCACCTATTTCCTCCTTGCCCAGGACATATCAAGAGGCAATCAAGCTAGCTACCCCCTCCCCAGTCAAGCTATATAGGGAGGTAAGCAGAGACAGAGGCAGGGCTGGGGGCTGGGAAGAAGAAGGACCATAAGAGGTCACCCCCATCCCCAGTGCAAGCACCTCAAGCTGAAGTGCAGCGGGGCTGGGGCCTGGAGAGGAGACTGCTACAGAGTGTGGGAGACTAACAGTCAAATTTGAAGGGGACTCGACTTTCTAATACCCAAAAACGACCAGTAACACCCAAATGGCCATGTCCTGTTTCTCCCCCACCTAAAACCGCCAGCAGAGCCCAGCCTCGGGCACAGCAGACACCGGCTCCCTGCCCCACCCACACCTGCACTCCAGGGTTATGCGCCAGCTCATACACTGTTCCGGCTGCTCCCTGCAAGCCTTCCTTGGGTGAGGCCTCATCCTCACCCCCACCCCCCTCCCAGCCGACCCCGACTCCCCTTTGAAGACTGACTCCTCCTCTCTCCCAGGAATCGCGCTGGGTGCCTGCACTCTAACCCTGTGCAGGTTTGAAAAAAGGTGACCCTCTGAGAGGTTGAATTAGAAAAAGCTGCCTCTCTGGGACCGAACAGCAAAGCCCACAGCTTGATTGGCCTGGGGGGCTTGCACGTCAATCCCTGCTCTCCCCAACGAGCCCCCTTGGCAGGGTCCCTTTATTCAACATACAACCTGCTCAACCAATCAGGAGTCACTTCTATCCCGGGAGGCTGCATTGGAAATCCCACCTTCTGGTTTTCACAACATCCTACCCAAACGCTACCATAGATGAGTTAAACAGGCTGTGAACTGCTCAAGGCTTGGGGCTGTGGCAGCCATGGGAGATGCTGCCCAGGCCTCCCTTCTGGAAACACCTGTCACCGGGAGCAGCATCGTGTCCTTCAGCATCCATGGCAGAGGCACGCTCTCCCCAGGCTGCTCCTGGCAGGGGGTACCAGAGCGCCACTCCTGCCCAAGGTGGGTCTCCTCCAGCCAGCGATCTTTGCTCTGGGCCTCCCCACCAGCCTGACCAAGATTTCCTCTGAGCTGCACTCCAGGGCAGGCTCAGATTACACAATCGTCCTTCTCCCCCCTCCAGAGGTACCAGGCCTGCACCACATTCTGAAGACCCTCCCCGCCCACCTTCTCCTGCAGCCTCCTCCCTTCTCCTTCACAGGCCCTTCCACCAATCAACCTTTACATGTCTGCTTCCCAGAAGAACTGAGCTGACACGACTCCTCATCATCTTATATCCTCCATGCCTGGGACGCTGGGATGCACGTTTGGAGCATCAAGAGCATGGACTCAAATCACAGCCTCGGGACTTCTTGTTCCATGGGTGGCTTTGGGTGGGTTACTTAAACTTCTCTGAAACCTAGTTTGGTGTCCTCATCTATTAAATGGTATGATAATAATTCCTGCATCTTAAAGTTGTTTGAGAATTAATTAAGTTAATGCATGCATGTCTTTAACACAGTGCCTAAGAACATAATATTAATAAATATCTAATGTGGTATAACTGCATTGGATACACTAAATATCCTACACATGTTAGTAGTTACACTGAAAAAGACTTTTAAACCAGAGGACACAGGATTATCTTCAATTAGAAATTTTAAAGGTTTTTTTTTCTTTAGTCATTAATAGCAAATAGAGGCCCAGAGTAAGATGCGATCGCTTATAAAAACAAGTTAATAAGAAGTTTCATCTGTTGCACATACTTGTGTAGCAACAATTAAAAAGTCTGAAGAAGACACTGGTACAAATATAAACATAGACAGAGTTTCTTAGCTTGGGCACTGTCAACATTTTGGGCGCCTTACTGCTTGCTGTGGGGGCGGCCCTGTGCTCTGTAAGATGTTTGGCAGCATCTCTGACCTCTACCCGCTAGATGCCAAAACCACTTCCAGGCTGCAACAACCAAACATGTCTCCAGGTATTGTCAAATGTCCCGGCAGCACAGTTGCCCTGTTAAGAACCACTGGCATGGACACAGACCAGAATTCTCTAAATGTGTGGGTACTTTAGAGAAAAAAAGTACTAGAACAATAACACTGTAATGTGTGATATAATTTATGCAAGAAACATGCCTGCCACGATAGTTTACATAAAAATTATCATAATTTTACAAACATAGGATCTCTGAGAGCAAGAATTTTTTTCTGTCCCCCTTCCCCCCATCTTCACATCTAAAATAGTGTCTGGAAGTTAGGACCCCAATAAATAAGGCTAAATAAATCATTAATGAATTAAAGTATAACCCCAGAACCAGCATTTATGGAATGCTGACATTATGCCAACCACTGTGCTAAGACTCATAAACACTAGATCATTCAGTTCTCATAATAATCGTTTGAGGCAGGTACTTTCATTCTCAGCATTTTGTGGAGTTGAAGACGAGGCTAAGAGAGATGGAGGTGCTCACCGAAGTGTCACAGCTAGTGCGAGGCAGAGCCGGCAGAGGCGCAGCATTCTTTTGAATGCCAGTCCCCACACTCCCATTAGACCGCCAGCAGCCTGCTTTGCCCACATACAAGCCATATCCCACCCTGGAGGAACGTGCGGGCCAGGGTGGACCGGGTGACCAGCTCTGCCCCCAGGGCTGCAGTTCTTGCAGCACAAACCACGAGGAAGCAGCCGGGAGCCTACTGCGGCCTTTCGGCTGTTCCTGGGCTGAGGATTTTCAGGCTGACCACTATTCAAGAAGCAAGGCCCAGAGGTCTGGTTTTGTGCGAGGCTGTACCCAAAGGAGCCTGATGTGGAGACTGAGGAATAGCTGCAAACACCTGCAAATAGAAATTGTGCTTGGACTCCAGGGCAGAGGTCTTTCCAGTTCAGAGAGACCCCTCCCCGAGGACTGGGAAGATTCAGTATACTATCCTATTGAAAGGCCGGGCTAAAGCCAAACGGATCTGAGTTTCCAATCCTGTCTCTGCCACTTATGGCCTGATCTTAAACAAATAAATCTCTTCCACGGTGACATGGACCGTGGATACTATACATTAGTATCACCCAAAGTTGCTGGCCATATTAAGTGAAACAATGCCAGGGGAGTGATGGACGCTGTGACTACAGCAGCTGCTGCAGCCTGGCAGTGCACAACCCCAGCCAGGCCCTAGCCTAAGCCACACAGTTCAAGGCTCAGTGGCAGAAGTGAACAGAACTAAAACCACGGAACTGAGACAGAAGCCCAGCATCCAGACGGGGGCCCATGATGGGGACTAAGGAGGGATGCATCTGAGCCTGCCTCAGCTGGGACCAGGCACCTAAGGCGGCCACCCAGCTAACTACAGTGCCCCCTGTTGGGCCTCTGCAGAACAGGGCAGGGCAGTGATCAAGGGACAGAGGCCCTTCAGGACAGCCACTCCCTTCCCCTTGGTTACATACTGAAGCGAGTAAAGGTGAGAAGGCAGAGAATACAGAAGGGAGGATGAATGCTGGCCTAGCAAACGAGTCCGGGTTTGCTTTCACGCTCCCTACGCCAGCACGTGACTATTGCAGGCAGGTGTTTGCAGCCTCTCTGGCCCTGTTGAGGTGGGGCCTGCAGCACCCATCTCCTCTGTGACTGCACCCTGCGCCCAAATCCCAGTGTGTCCTCCCTGACACCTCCTCTAATCCTCTCCCCAGATTCCATTCCACTCGGCTCTCAAGCACCAC